TCATAATAGGTGACGTGTAAGCAGTCTTCTTGTGGTCAATTTGAGACGTGTGGGGTGAATAATTATGTGCGATCATGTCAGCCATCGAGAAAAGGACTGTGTTCCATCTCTGGAGATCCACATTACAACACCTTTGACAACACCACATATAACTTCCAAGGCACCTGCACATACATCGCAGCTGAAGGATGCCACCTTAACGGCACCCAGCTCACCCCCTTCTCTGTGGCGGTGGAGAATGACAAGTGGTATGGTTTGTCATTCAATCCCAAGGTGTCTGTGACCAAACTTGTAGCGGTAGAAGTTTACGGAACCATTTTGATCCTTCGCAAGAACGACATTAACATGGTTTGGGTATGTAACTAATATCATCATTGCAGAGTCCTCGATCGATATAATATACATAAAATGTATCAAATTTCAATGTGAAAATAATTGTACAATGTACACAGAGTGGTTCAAAGTGATGAACCTGCAGATAATTACCACCTGAATCTGCAGCTCCTTTTTATGCTGTAGTGTTCTTTTTGGTCGTAGCAGGAAGCTCTAAAAAAACAAACCCTGTTCATTAGCTCCTTACCATGAAACAGCAGACTGTTGGTGAACATGGTGGCGCACTTAGTGCTAAAGAGGGAAATATTTCTCAGAGGAGTTGGTAGAAACCAAAAACAGAGATAAGAAAAAGAGAATATTGGACTTCCTCAAGTGACCAGAGACTGCAAATGAATGATAATATAGCCCAATGACTGCCATATGTGTAAATATGCTTAAATATGCAACTTTACCATATCAATTTAAAAGTTGATGTAATGTATATGCATTGTTCAGAACTTGTTACCACTGCCCAATCTTTATTGCAAACCTCAATTGAGCGAGAGAGCTATGCAAATGAAAACAACATAATAGCAGACATTCCAGCAAATGTGGCAAAATAGTAGGAAGTATGGATAATTCAAGCAAATAATTTAATCTCTGCAGGTAAATGGGATCCTTACTCACCTTCCACTGAACCTCAACAACGGTGCAGTGAAGGTTTATCAGGAGGGGCAAAATGACATCATAGTGACCGACTTTGGCCTGAGGGTGACGTATGATCTGGTGTATCACGTCACAATCACTGTCCCTGGAACCTACAGTGGCAGAACCTGTGGTCTTTGTGGCAATTTCAACAACGACAAAGCAGATGAGTTCCAACTGCAAGATGGAACAATTACCAAAGACATTCAGAGCTTCGGAGCAGCTTGGAAAGTGCCCGTGATTGGAGCCGTCTGTGAAGATGGCTGCATCGGCGACCAGTGCCCCGTATGTGATGAATCTAAAAATGCTGTGATAGAGGCAGAATGTGCAGTCATCAGCGACCCCAATGGTCCATTTGCGGCTTGCCAGGGTATTATCGATCCCTCCTCCTACTTCAGAGATTGTGTCTATGATGTTTGTATGTCCGAAAATGATCCAATGATGCTGTGCCACAGTATTTCTGCATACATGTTAGACTGCCAAGACTTTGGCGCAAAGATTGTGAACTGGAGAAATGCTACTTTCTGCCGTGAGTCTGCTCTTTTTATTATTCCATGTACACTGATATATCCGTTTCTAACTCAACATTTGTTCAGCACATTTACTGTAAATAATAATTCCTAACTCCTTTTTTTTGGTACCAGCTTTACCATGCAGTCCTGGCAGCCATTATGACACTTGTGTACTGCCTTGTACCACTTCATGTCCTGGTCTGGTTGACACCCTCACGTGCACCACAAATTGTGTGGAGGGCTGTGCCTGTGATAAAGACTTCTACTACAATGGAACTGGCTGTGTGCCATCTGACCAGTGCAGCTGCTATTACAATGGCCACACTTACAAGGTGAAAAGATAATATATAATTAATGATTAACAGAAAGATCTGATAACCTCCAGCTACGGTTTTAAATGTCCATTATTAATTAACCCGGATGTTATTCAGTTTATAAATAAAGCCTTTTTGTTTCTAACAAAGGTTTGTCACAAGGCTTATCGAGAAAAGCAAAATATGCTTCTTTCAATGTCTTATATTAATGCATCCATAAAAGCATTTTAAATATTGTATTTATATCTTGAAAAGTGCTAGCAGCATATAAAACATGCTGGCGAACATTCAAACATTACCTGCTAAAGCATGACAGCATCGCTACCGCAATTTGCTAGCATGACTCAAAACTCTGTGGTGTGTGTCATTTAACATAAAGCCCATGTCCAAAATAAACTAGGTTGATTCTGAAGTTTATCATGTATTACAATAATTATTTTAGAATTATCTACCACACTAGGTGGTTCGATCTACATCCTTTAGGAAGTTGTTCTATCAAAATGTAACAAAGGCTGGATAATAAAGTGATATCATTTAACTTTAGGGCTAGTCATATCTATGCAACAACGACAGTCGCAAGTTTCTTCAGAGGGCAATGGTCTGTTGCTTGGAAACTTTATCTCAGCTTTCTACATGTCCTTTCAACCATTTTAGCGATTTCCTAACCCTTTGTTTCGTTGCAGGTTGGAGAGACCGTTATAACTGATGATTGTCACAGGATACACACCTGCCACGCCTCTGGAATAGTTGTGTCCAAAAACATGACATGTGACCCTGACCAGAGCTGTTTGATCAAGGGAGGTGTGATGAGTTGCCAACTTCAGCACTGCTTTTTGGATGCCAATGGGACCCTCAATCAATTTAATGGTGAAGGTGGCACCATAACAGAGCCAGGATCCTATGAGATCATCCACAACTGCGACGTCTCTCAGACAACAGACTGGTTCAGGGTGGTGGTGAAGTTGGAGACGTGTACTCCGGGTGTCAACACGATTGTGGCCGTATATGTGTTCTTCAATGACATGATGATTTCAGTGAACAGCAAACATGACATATGGGTAAGTGTCTGTATCAAGTAATGACCTTATTATCACGTTTTAAAGTAATGTCTTCCTTTTAAGTTTTTTACTTTTGTTCACAGATAAATGGAAGGGAGCTGACTCAGACGCCTTTCACCAAGAGTGATGTAAACGTGGTGGTGTCTGATAATACAGTGATAATTGACAGCACTTCCACCATTCATGTGTCCTTTAGTTCGACTAATGAACTCGCCATTAGTGTCAGTAACGTAGTAGCAGACGTGTTATGTGGGGCATGTGGTACGATCAGGCCTACTATAATAGAACTCCAGGCACTGAACATTGGGAAGTGGAAGGCTCCTGACTTTCCCGGATGGTAAGTTACATAAAATACCTTAGCAAAATTACAAAGTATTTTTCTACCAAGAAAATCAGACATTACATGTAAATGTCACTTTGGAGAAATCTTGCAAATTAGATGATATTTACTTTTGTCATCATCACCATTTCCTATTGGACTATACTATATGCCAATGATATGATTATTATTTGTTTATATTTGTCTTCATTAGGGTCAACTAATTTGTCAACTGAACAATTTGACTAATTATTTTCTCTGTTTCTTTTTCAGTGATATTTAAATTGCAGTCCAGCAAGATTTGTAAAACTGTATCGATGAAAATCTTTCAGCGCTCGCCCGACGTCTTTGCTTTATTCAAATGGAAAAATGGAGACCCGCATAATGATCGTCAAACATATAGATTTTTCTTTTTATCTCAAAGAACAACGCAGCACATTTGATTAACAGAGCAGATATGTATGTTGTATTGAGAAAATGTAATGTGGACTTTACATTTAAACACTGGGGTGAACAATTACACCAGCTTCTACAGTCTCTATTATTTGTTCCTTATCCAATATTAGATGTATATATCCGATGTTGCAATAGTAATTAAAGATACATGTAAAGATGTTTAAAGTGGTTGTGAGAGAATATTTTAATCCGATCTGTGTACTTAGAGGTCCTCAGTCTTTCTGTAAAAATGTTAATCACAAAGTTATGCTTTTTGGTAAACCGCATATATTCCTGCCTGTAATGTGATCCTGTGTGTAACTTCTCAGGAAGACACAGGTCAAGAGGTCATCTGACTTCCTGTGGGGGAGAAGCTTGGCTCATGTGGGTTTGCAATGCAACGAGTCTTTGTCTCTCTATCTGGCTTGCATTAAAGGAAAACCCGCATGTTTTAGGGCCCTCCTCTTCTCAAGTATAGATGTGTTCCTGGCTCCTTTGTTTTCAGAGTTTGCCTGGTGTCCCACAAATAAGTTGTGCATATACCTTGTGAATTCTCTGGCCGTAATATACTTTCAATAAATGTCAATGTTTGACTAAGGCGAATCCAGTTTCCATTCCTTTCACGAGCATTGGCTCAGCATTGATAACAGAAGTTTTCCTTACAGTGGTTATCACAAAAACATTGTAATCATTAATGGAAAGAATTTGATTTCAAGTAGAACATCTTTTTAGGACCTCAGTGTCATAATTTAACATGGCGTCCTCAACAGGTCTGAGCTGAATGATAGGGGATAATTCTCATAATGTGTGGGATTGCCCAGTCACGAATTGTGGTAAAATATTAATATATGGATATAAAAGATAAAAGAAATAATGAATAGTGTAGTAAGAGGTTGCTAAAGGTGTAAATGAACTCAAAGGTTAAAACTGACACACAATGGATTATTTGACAGAGCACCTGCAAATGATAGTGATAACATTTCACACGCAGACCTCAAGGTGTTTGTTGTGTCAAAAAACCCAATGAAGTTTAAATTTGTTCTGAAATATAAAAGAAATGTGATTTCTAAAGACAACCATAATAAACACTGTTCATCAATGAAAATGTATATGGTGTCATTTCATTAACCAGAGGGCATTGTTTCTTTCGTATTGTTTATTACATTATGTACATTTACATGCAAACTCCAATTATTTTCTGTAACTTTACAAAATAAATCAAGAGCCAGACCTCGATTCTGCGTTGAGCATGAAGTTTATTATGCAATTATATTACAAATCATTTCATTAAAAGCTTAAAAAGTATGATTAACACTTTACCATATTGGAAATAAAGCTTTCACTGCTAATTTATTGTTGAATTTTCTGCAGATGATGATACTGTTGCACTGATCTCTGGGTTTGGAGAAGAGGATATTTTCTTCATAACTCACTGCAAAAAGAAAACAAATACACTTTTTATAAATGTGTGGATCCACCAGAACTCACATTGTTACTGTATTCAGAAATGTCTTTCATATGTGGATTGATTCATCTGTACAGTTTAATCAAAATCCCAAAAATAAAAGGAATGTAAAAATGTAGTATTTTTATGACATTGAGTCCACTGTATCATACTCACCAGGTAGGGAAGTCCTGTGCAGAAAAGGAGGCCATATACTCCTGTATCATAAACTGTGTGAAGCCCATGGTGTCTGTGAAGGCTATGAATCTGTCACATGCTCCACACAAGTTGTCCACTATGCTGGCACTCACAGTAACAATGAGCTCCTGGGAATTGCTGTAAGACAGCTGGAAGTGTGACATCTGCTCGATAATCACCTGTTTTCTCATCACGTCTCACAAAGATATTATTTCCTGGCAGGCTGGGGTCATTAACCTTTTTACCATTGACCTGTAAACAGCATGAGATTTATATTGTTTATTTTGAATGAGAGGTTCAGATATCGGGGACATCTCGTATAAGCGCAAATAGCATTTGACAATTTGCTAAATAGGATCACTCACTTTATTGAGGAGAGTTAGATGAGAAAATCAACCCAGCCTTATCTTTGTGTTTAATATGAGGCTGGAGCTAGGAGATGGTTAGCTTAGCATACCATAAAGACCTAAAACAGGAGGAATCATCTAGCCTGGTTCCGACAAAATGTTACTAAATCTGCCTACCAGCAACACGAAAGCTCTTTAATTAAAATATGTTATCTAGTTTGTTAAGTCTGTATAAAGTGTGCTGGACTATTAATTGGCAGCAGGGAGCTCTGATGTCCAAGTCTCTGCTACCTCAAAGATACAAACAGCCTCCAGAATGACCCTGCTCCAAACTGCACAAAACCCTGGTACCAATCTTTCTCATGTAACTCTCAACAGGAAAGCTAATTCCCTAATCATTTTTGAAACATTTAGAAATACCAACCCAGGTCTCCTGTCTGTCAGTGACGGTGATACTCAGCTCATTGAAGAAGACATAAACGGCGACCACGCTCTTCACTCCGGTCAGAGGGCACTCTTGGAGCTTGGCCACAACTCTGAACCAGTCGGCAGCTGCTTCATCACAGTGTGTGATGATCTCATAAGCTCCCATGACAGAGATAGTGCCGGTGGTGCCACTGAAGAGCGTGATGAAGCCTCCCGTCTCCATCCGACACTCCTTGGGACGGCAGGCAAGGATACCGCTGTTGAGCTGGCATTTCTCCGTAACACCGCATGAAAACTGCTCACACTCGACTTCACCAGATGTTGTACAGTTGCAGATCTGTTGGCAGTCGTCAGATACCACAGTCTCGCCAATCTAAAGAAGAGAGTAGGGCAGAAACAGTCTGAGCATTGTGCAACCTAATGTAGTTGCAAATGACATTTCAATGCTATATCAAGTATCTTCTTCTTTTTAGTACATTGGACGGGCAGTGCGTGAAATACTAAAGAGATTATTTTTCATAATCAAATAACTGTATGTTTACCTCTACATATTTTTATAGTGTAAACATCATCATGCAATGTTTGTATAGGTATAGATAAATGAAGGGTATGGCTGAGATGAGTCCATTACCTGCTAATTGAACATCATTTCATTTTAATTTGCCAGTGTATATCAATGCATTTCCAGACAATGTAACTTTGATAGAAAAAATGTCAATCAATCAACTATATTTGTCACATGAGTTTAAATTTGGGATGCAATCTCAAATGTCATTATTGGGGCCAAACAAGGCATTTTTAACCTGATCAGTGTGGGCTATATTGAGCTATTGAGCCTGATTAATCCCTGTTTAACATCAGCTACCACACACGTGTTTCTTATTTAAGACCAATTCAGACCAATGTGACAGGTGCTTAGCTTAGTGTAGAGACATCTAACAGGCGTAAACTACCATTTCTGCCAATGTCTGCCTGGAAAGCAGGTATTAAACCTTAAGACATACAGCTTTCTTTGGAAACTTCACAGTGGGATACCTTACCTTGTAGGTACGTCCATTGTGGTAACAACTGCATTCGTCCAGGGCAACGCAGCCTGTCCCATTGAAGTAGTATCCTTCATTACAGGCGCAGCCTTCAGCACAAGTGGCGGGGCAGCTGATGGTGTCGGTGAGACCAGGACACGGAGAGCCACAGGTTTCAGAGCAGATCTGGTAGTGACTGTTTGCAGGACATGTAATAGCTACAAAAGAAAGCATTTAGGATTAACTGAAGCCACAAAAGCATGACAGTAAATTCATGGTGTGTAAAGAGAAAACTAGACAACTTTTTAAGATTTTTAAATCTCTTTTCTTGGACACAAGGCTAGTTTTACAAATATAAAACCTCAATGGATTAGAAAATCATGTTATAAAGAGTTACATTTTACCTTGTTGCATTTAAAAATGATGGTCTATGCGAACCTTTAGCATATGAGTTTCATTTATCATACAGTCAGCAGTACTCACGGCAGAAATCAGGCGTCCTCCAGTTGTCAATCTTTACTCCGATGGTCTGACAGTCAGTCACGTACGCTGAGATACTGTTGCAGAGAACGTCTTTGCGTCCCTGAGACATACAGACGTCATAGACACAATCTCTGTAGTAAGACTCAGGATTTATTTGGCTGTGGCAGGCAGCAAAGGGACCAGTAGGATTTGTGATACTTTCACAATCTTTCTCAAAGATTTTTTTTAGTGTGGCGTCACATTTAGGGCACTGGTCTCCACTGCAGCCATCCTCGCAGACCACCCCCTGCACAGCCACCTTCCATGCTGATCCAAAGGTCTGGAGGTCCTTGGTAATTTTTCCGTCGGGTAGTTCTAACGCATCTGGCTCGCTGTCATTAAAATTGCCACACAGACCACAGGTTTTGCCCTTGTAGTTGCCAGGAACAGTGACAGTGACTTTGTAGATCATATCGTAAGTCACTTTCAGTCCGAAGTCAGTTACAATAGCATAGTGAAAGCCCTCTTGGAAGACTTCTACTTGTCCATCATTGAGGTTAAGAGGAATGGTTAACAAGGTGCCATTCACCTGAAGAGGACAAAAAAAGGATCAGCTGTGTTATTTTATAGGTTTCGTTTGAACAAATTATGTTGTTATTGAGAAATAAGTATACTTTATTTTATTTTTAAAAGTCTGTAATTAATCAATAGGACAAAACATTCTTCAACACTTACCATGATCGTTCTGAGTTGATTCATTCGGAGGACTAGAGTGGTGTTGTACACCTTCACAGCAACAAGCTTGGCTACAGCCACATTTGGCGTATCTGTCATTGTCCATTTCTCATTCTCTACAACCACAGAGAAGGCTTTGAGCCGTGAGCCCTCCAGGTGGCACGATCTAGCTGCGGTGTAGGTGCAGGTGCCTTGGAAGTTAAAGGTGTGGTTGGTAAAGGTGTTGTAATGTGGATCACCTGCGATTTGGCACGTTCCATTTCCCACTGGATGGCATGATCCAACATTGTTGGTCAGCACACAAGTCTCAAACAGCCCACAAGAGTGTTTCTCATGAAGCATCTAGTGTAACAGAGATATGTTTAGATCAGCTATAAGGTGAAGTGTTTTGAATAGCTAAATTCTTATTGGAAAAAACCCGCTGCCTAACCCCCAGCAATATACGTTCAATGTTATGTAGTTGATTTAAAAAAACAGCTCTTATATGCTATCCTTTTAACTACAAGTCCCCAGACATAATTACATTACATGTCGATTTCTTTTTTTTTAAGATGGTCAATATAGTTTGCTGATCGCCATAAAACCACCTTCATTCAAACTAAACCTCAACAAAATAAATACCTATTTAAAAAAAGGATATAAAGCTTACCGTGCCATTTTCACTGCAGGTGAACATTTGCTGACAATCTGATGACAGAAAACTCTGTCCCTGCTTATAGGTTTTGCCTTTGTACAGGCAGCCACACTGGTCAGAAGGCACACACTTGTAATCACTGAGTAGGAAGCCATCTTTGCACTCCCATCCTTCCTGGCAGGGCCTCTTGTAGGTAGAAGGAGCTAACCTGTTGTCACAGGTTGCATGGCAAACATTGCCACAGTGTTTATATTGACTGTTGGTTGGGAATTTCATTTTAGATATGGGACAGAAGTCTGGTGCCCTCCACTGGGACACATTGACTCCTCTGCTTTGGCATTCAATGGTGTAACGGCGGAGATGGCTACACCAGGAGCCTTCTTTGCCATTGTAAAGGCACACATCATACACACAACTCTGAAAAACTCTTTCAGGATCTATGGTGCCTTGGCATCCGCTGAAGGGGCCTTTGGGATTTCGTATTAAACCGCAGTATCTATCCGTCTCATATTTGTCTTTCTGGGTGATGTCACAGCTGGGACAATCCTTGCTGTTCTTGCAGCCATCTACACAGCCTGGGATCTCGGCAACCCTGCAACTTTTTCCCAGTTCCTCCGCAGACTCAGCCTGTGTGCCATTCTTCAACTGCAGGTCATCTTTGGGGTTGTGATTGTAATTGCCACACATACCGCACATTGCATCTTCATATGTACTTGGTACTTTGACATGAACTGTCGATTGCCAGTCATAGGAGACAAGCAGGCCAAAGTCAGTCTTTATCTCTGCAAAGTCACTAAACTGGTTCACAGTGAAATTGCGTTTATATTTGACAGGTAAGTGTGTAAGTTCTCCATTTATCTGCAAAACAAGATTGATACATTACAAAAACTAAAATAGCAATCATCCTGTGATAAATGTGCTTACGGGTCTCTCACCATGACAAAGCCTTTGTGTTTTCTTGTGACAATAATGGAAGTTCCAGAAAATTTGACCTCTACCAGCTTTGCACCAGAGTCCACTCTTTTACCATAGGCATCATTCTGCACATAAACTTCAAAATGTGGCAGGGAAGGATCTTTCGAGCAGACCCCAGCCAGCTGATACACACAGTTGCCATGGAAGCTGTAATCATGCCCATCAAAGGTCTCGTAGTGAGGGCCACCAATCATGCTGCACTCAGCGAAAGTAATTGGGTCACATCCGATGAGGTCGTCAACCACCTTGCACTCATACCCCTTAGGACAACCTGGTTTCTCACAATCCACGTTCTTGGTAGTGCCGTTGCACGTGCACCTCTCTGTACAGTGGTCATCAGTGAAGACAGAAGCTCCAGACTCTATGTAGAGGCTCTTGTCTTTGTACAAGCAGCCACACTGGGCTTTACTGACACACTCTGTGCCGCTGAGCAGGAAGCCCTCGTCACAGACACACGTCTCCACACAGCTTTTGTTGCACTTTGCGGCTGCATCTGGGTTTTCACAGGTGGAAGGGCAGGCCTTTCCGCAGAACTCATAATGACTGTTCTCCGGGCATGAGGGTAGAGCTATTTCAGAAAATTGCATCATGTTACCATCACAGATTGTGGGTGAAACCGAAAAAATACGAGATTTGTCAAATACTATGGTTACTCACGGCAATGGGCGAAGTGCCTCCAGTCGTGAATTTTCACGCCGGCCCTCTGACAGGCATCGGCGTACACCTGCAAGGTGTTACACAGGAAGTCCTTGAACCCATCACCCATGCACATATCAAACAAACAGATCTCATGAAGGACTTTAGGGTCAATGACAGCATTACAGTCACTGAGCGGTCCATCCATAGCGTGGCTGAGAATACCGCAGAACATCCTGGAAGTGATGCTGTGAAAAAAGCTGTCATCATCACAATTTTCCCACTTGCCCGAGCATTCGTCTTGACAATGAGCATCATCTGTCACATTAGGAACTCTCCAGCTCTTTCCCAGGGCCGCTACATTGCTGCTCTGTGAGCCAGAAGGAGTCACCAAGTCATCCTCCTTTTTGCTGTTGAAGTTCCCACACAGGCCACACACCTTGCCGGACAAACTGCCCGGCACTGTTATGACAAGATACTGCTTCCAGTCATACTGCACGGTCAAGCCAAAGTCTGTCTCAACAACGACAGACATGCCGCTCTGTGATAACTTCAATTTCCCATTTCCCAGATTGATGGGGAGATTCCACAATGTGTGGTTCATCTAAAACATATTGAGAGACATTGTTTAATTCAATAAGCGATATTTTTTTCACAGACTCCTTGAGTAATGACAGTAGTCGTGTTTATTTAAAGACTGTACTCACCCTGACAAGGCCAAACTCTGAGCGCACAATGGTCACAGTGTACCCATACACCTTAATGATCACCTTGCCAACAAACGTGACCTTTGAACCATCAAGTTTGTCATTCTTAGCATCAACCTCAAAGGCTGGGTGGTCCTCATTAACTTGGCAGTTCATGGCCATCGTGTAGGTGCAGCTGCCCATGAAGTTGTAGTAGTTGCTGTCAAATGTGCGGTAGTGAGGATCTCCCATAGCCCAGCAGGTTCCCTCTTTAATGGCTGTTTTTTTGACACATGTTGATGAGTTTTTTTCTTTCATCTGGCACACCTCATCTTCTAAACATTTTGTGGTACTGCAGTCATGTCTCTCTGAAAAATTAGAAGAAAAATTAAACATATACATGCACTTAGATAATATGTTATGTAAGGCCAAGCTATGCTAAGCTGCACTATGTTATGCTGTACAGTACTGTCAGGCATAGGCGGATTTTGCGGGGGGGGGCAGGGGAGGCCTTGCCCCCCCTGGTGGCTGAAATATGTTACTGCATTACTAAGTCTAAAACTGTTCCAATACAAATATTTCGTATATCAATATTTGAATAGATGTAATAAAATGATTGTTACAATACAAATCTGAATAATATCAGGTTTTGTTTGAAATAATTTCATTTTTTAGCAGTCGCATGTTGTGACGTTTGTGTGTGTGTGACGTGTGAGGTTAAGGACACAAGTTCCCTCGCTTTTTTTTGTATACAAGTGATTCAGCTATTGTATTACAAGAATTAGCAGTAATGGATATTCAGCGATTTTTAAAACGTCCAATTTCGTCTTGTAAAAGCTTCAACAACAGAAGAGCCACCGACTGAGCCTAACCTTACCAACCAGCAGCCGTCAGAATGTGAAGTGGCAGACACACAAACAAGCAGCTCTGGATTAGCTAAACCAGTTAACGTTAGCCCCACAGCGGAGAGCTCTGGATTAGCAGGACCAGCTAACGTCATTAACCCCACAGCAGGGAGACCACCGGTGCCGGGGCCGTCAGTGGGTCATGATGATCTTGGGGAAAAACACAGCTGTCCCAAGCAGCCTACTTTATCCGAATTCCCCTCAAAAATGATTGGGAAAACAAAACGATAATTTTCCACGTACTACAAGAACTATCCCTGGCTGGAATATTCAGTACGAATGGATGCCGTCTTCTGTTTTTCATGCCGCAACTTCCAGACTGACAGCGGTGTGGAGGATTCCTTTAGAAAGGGCCTGAGTGACTGGAAAAAAACTAAGCAGCAAACTGGAGAAACATGCACACTCCCAGGCCCATCTGAACTGCATGGTTAAATGGGATAACTATAAAGTGACTGCGTCTTCTGGATCTATTGCAGCTAAACTTTCCCGAAGCCACGAAGATTCTGTTGAGAAGAACAGATCTTATTTGTGCAAAATTGTTGATATTGTGAGGCTGTTGTCCAAACTCGGATTGCCTTTTCGTGGGCATCGGGAGGGAAGCGAGTCAGAGTCGCGTGGGAATTTTCTTGAGGTTTGTGGCTTCTTCTCCAAGTATGATTCTGCTTTTAAAAACATGCAGTCCAACTATTTCAATGCGACTAGTCCAGATTTCCAGAACGAAGTCATTGACATATGCGCTAACTTAGTTTGTGCAGAAATTGTAGAGAAAGTGCAGGATACTGGATTTTTTTGAAAACAGAACAACGGAACGGAACAATTATCAGTGTGTTTAAGATATGCAGAGTAGCTTGAAATCAAGGAGCGTTTTTTGTGTTTTATTGATTCATCCAAATGTATACAAGATGCTCCAGTTGGCACTGACTCTGCCTATCGGACCTGCCACCTCAGAGAGAAGTTTTTCTGCAATGAGGAGAATTCGGAACTGGCTGCGGTCAACGATGGGAGGAACAAGATTTTCCTCACTTGCTGTTCTTCACATTGAGGACGACATAACTGCACAGCTGTCACCTGAGGGGATAGTGGACATATATGCGGAACGTAAACAAAATTCGTCTACTCCTGCACTAAGGTAGGACACTGGTTAATAATATTGTAGCGTGTTCAAGTAACCAAGGGATATAGTAGTTATCAAATAAGTATAAGATGTGCACAGTTATGATTACAGTTATGTAATGCACTGTTGTTGGGGGGAGAGACCGCCCCTTCCATAATGAGTGTGTGTGTACGGCGCAGTGGCGTTTTCTCCCGGAGGCCAAGGGAAGCCAGGCTTCCCCTGTTTTTTCGGATAGTAGTTATAATTTAAATAAATAAATAAAAACACTTGTTTCGATAATTCTCCTTTGCTGTGTGTTGCTGCCGGCCCGTCTCTCCCCATTCTCATTGAGTATTTTACAAAGAGTGAAACAAACAGCGCCCCTCTAGATGTTATGGTAAAACAGTAGATTGCACTCACTGTTGCGAGAGGAGGCCAGCCGAATCTGGCTTCC